CACACACACACACACACACACACACACACACACACACACACACTCTTTACAGGGATGAAGCATAGGCAGTGTTGCACTGGCTCGTCCAGATGAAAAGTGTCACAAATAGTTGAGCAGCTGATGACAAAAGAGAGGGAGAGAGCAAGGTGCAACACTTCGCTCCACTCCCGCTTCTACGCTGCTGGTCAATCTTGCCATGAAGTGGAAGTCAGAGACACATGAAGCCAAAATCAGCCGACGAATTTCTGTTTGGGGATTTTCGACCCCTCAGATATCGAAACTGATTAAATACGCCACAAACAAACTTTAAAAGGAGAAAACAATCAATCCAGATGGGATTTTAAAAATAAATATCGACACCAAACTCTACCTGCTCTGTGTGAATTAACATCTTCCTCAAAGATTTGCTGATTTTTATATTTTTTGTATTGTTATTTTAGAACATAGCTAAGCTAATTTAATTTAAAATATTTACTACAATGTCATTAAGTGGCATAGATTTGTCATACTGGAGCTCAATTAAGCTTGCTGGATTAGATAAACCAAAAGGAAAATTAAAATATTAATTCCCCATATAATTTAAAAGTAATCTTATAAAAAGATATGAGAAGTTAAAACACCCATCTTCAAAAGTAGTGTTACTATGGATAGTTGAACACTGACCTGATTTCTGAAAGGCGTACCATGAAAAAGACCACATTTCTTTAAAATTTGGAGCAAGATAAAGCTGATTTTCTTTTTAATTTCCAGCTTTTACAGCTAAAATTAAAGAAAAAGGGGGAAAGTGGGGCCTGAAGGAGAAATTGGGTATCCTGCACTGGAAAAACTTGATATCACTGCAGCTTTGAGTCTTTGAGGGATTTCTGCCCACTTTCCCAGGAAAATCATTTCAGCTAAGTGAGGTTACTATGTCCTATGGGTGCGAAGGTTTTCTGAAGTCTGTAGATGTCTGATAGCTTATAAGTGGAAAAAACTGTGAACAGTTTTAGTTTTTTTTAACCCTCCTGTTGCTCATGGATCAAAATGACACAAGGCTTCAATCATAAAACTGGGTTATTTTGACTCAAGGGCAACTTTAGTAGTTTTATGATGATTATTTTGCATTTAATAAACAAACCTTTTTTATGCCAATCCCGTTTTTACAACAGCTCTCTAAGGTGTGATTACTCTTTTTTTAACTGTAGACTAATTTTCAGATTTAATCTGATGCAGATGTTTGTTTTAAAACAGCAAATTACAGAATGACTCCATATTTCCCCCCTCTACATTATCTAAAAAAGCAATTGTGACAAGTGTTTCATTTTTTTCAATTGTTGTTTTTTTCTATACCATAAGGTTTGAATTAAAAAAAGATAGTTTTGTGGCATGTTTGTGATTTCTTTATACAAAATTCAGCAACTGAAAGAACATCCTCAAAGAGTGGTGCTGCCAGATTTTTGCCAGGGGTCGTATTCAGTCAGTGCAGTCAAACATTATGACGTTTGACATGTTTTTTTCAAAATACATTCAAATTTTAAAGATGTTATCTTGCAAACATTTGAGATTAAATCTTCTGCTTCAGAGGCAGACAACTTTTCTTTTTCGTAAATCCTTTTAGAATTATATTTTTTGCAGTTGTGGCTGTGTAGTAATACAGTTCAGGTCTGATAAATGTCCCTTAAGGTGCTTTTCAATTAGCTCTTATTAAATTGTATAAAACAAAATCTCACCCTCATTTGAATTTTTAGAGTTAAGTTCATCGTTTATACACCTAACTACAACTAATAACAGGGATTTTGAGTGGGGTGCCCACGCCTTTTGTGGGGATTTATATACTGCAAAGTCATTGGGTTTGAGTTAGAGAAGATGGTTTGGCCATGTTCAGAGATGAGATAGTGGACAAGTTGGGTAAACACATATAGAAGTGCCAGGGAGTAGGTAGGAAAAGGGGAATACTACAGAGAAGGTTTATGAATGTAGTGAAGGAGGAGATGCAGAAGCTCGTGTGACTGAGATGATGTTAGGGACAACCTCTTCTACCTGGCACATCATTTTTACATCATTCTTACATATTAAGCAGATTTCACACAAATAGAAACTACAGATTAAAAAAAGTGTTTTGCATTTGGATATTTAGGGTTTAAATATGTCATTGTTTCAGAGGTTTAAACATAGTTCTTTAAAAAACATATAAGGACTGGCATTGCAAATTAGCCTAGGCTAAAAATGTTTTGTGCTATATAAATATTTGACTCTTGTCCCATTTAGGGGTGTAAATCAGTAGCTTTATCACACAAAACTACTACATTGATTTGTTTGGATGACGATACAATGTTTCTTGAAATCTCAGTCTGTCATAATATGATTTTATTGCAATCAATATTGATCCACATCAGGCATATGATGACAGCATGGATCAACATGATGTAATGTTACACCCATAGTCCCTATACAAACAAGCAATTAATTAAATGTTATAACACTAAAAAAGGGCTTTGTATTTTTCTCTTGTTCAATTAATATTTTCTGTAAGCTTTCAAACAAATAAAACATGTAGAAACTGTAAAAATGCCATCAGTTGCTACAGTGGTTCTATTGATTTATTGACCATATTGATTGTGTTGTGTTGATCACTGAGTGCATGTTGGTGTAAAATTACTCTTGAAAAGTCTGACACAACATTACAAGCTTATAACTTGGAGAGTTGTGCAAACTGTTCATCTGATAGAAATCATGTTTCCCTTTTAGTTCTTATTGGTTTGTTTACATGTTGTGCACAGTCGATGTCATCCATATGCATTACTGCCCAAAACATAAAAACTTTTGGTCACATACAGTATAAATATATGCATAGCGATTTGGTGGCCACAAAATTTCTAGAGTATTTCCTTTTTTTGCGCCAGTTTAGAGCTGCCTTTTTAGTCTTCTTTCTAATTAGTCTTTTATTTGTGCCAAAAACAGAAAACAAGCAGTGCCGCATGAAGAGTAGGAAAAAAATAGCATTGGAAAAGAAAAAAAAAATGTGGCAATTTTTCGGTTTGGGTAGGTTGGCCAGAAATAATTGGCTGTCATGAATAGTGATGGCACAGTTCCTTTCTCAAAGCCAAAACGAGAAGCAACACAAGGACAGCACTGAGAAACAACACTAGGACAGGGAGGAGACAGAATAGCCTGTCGCCTTTGTTTCCATTTAAGTTCAACATGCAGGTCTGCAGCAGGGGAGTGGGCTATGGCAGGCTCCGCTCACTTTTAATGGTGGATGAAGGAGAGATGGAGGAGATTTATTTTAGTCAGTTTGCATTGCTGTCCCTGCAAAGTCAAATATACAAACATCTTCAAGAAGCTCTTTTTTTTTTCAAATTTAAACAGGTTCTTTCCATAAAGATGAGCAAGTTTGGTGGCCTGTGAACATTTAACTCATGAACGCTTCCACTTATGGTATTTATTCATGTATAATACAATCTCATGTATAATACGACCCCCCACTTTTTGAGCTTAAAAAGCATAAAAAATTTAATCCTCAAACTACCTCCAATTTCAT